AAACTATGGGTCAAGGTGATAGTTCTGTGTGCTGAGATGGGCCTACCTAAGGGAGGAACTAACATAGTCAAAGTGAAATTTCCCTTATTACCCATTGCAATGAAATAGATCTTGTGTGTTTGTGTGTGTATTGCCAACCTTTTAACTAGATTCTGGATATATAAAGACATTTTGGCTCATATATCTTGGTTAATTCGATATTTCTGTGGGAAGATGATGATTGGGACTTACTATTTCACCATCTTACTGATATTATGTTTCTTGCATCCTTAATTGTTCAAAATGTACTTAGATTTAATGTTGTGTTGCCTCACATAAAATTTAAAGACCTTGTCAATGTCTAGTCTGGTTTGTCCTGACCCCCTCTATAGTTGTCAAATATGTTATATCTATGTATATTATATACTGCACATTACAATGCTATGATTTTACATTTAAACTCTCATATATACCTCAACATTTAAAATATTATTTTAAATTTATCCATATATTTTCCTTCCTGATGCTCTTCATTCCTTTTTAAAGATCATTTCATCTAGACTTATTTTCATTCATTTTTAAGAATTTTCCTTAGTAATTCTTTTAGTGTAAATATGTTGATGACAAATTGTACTATCATTAATTCATCTGAAAATGTTGATATTTGCTTCTATTCATGAAGGATTATTGGTGAATGTAAAATTTTATGTTGATAGATCTTTAAATATATCCACATTTTACTTTATTTATTATTATTACTTTTGAATGTGCCAGGGATGGAACCCAGGACCTCACACATGCAGAGCACTTGCTCTACCACTGAGCTACACCCCCATCCCAATGTCAGCATATTCAAGATCATTTTTTTTCTTATGAGAAATTGACAGTCAATTTTACTGTTGCTGCTGAGTATGAAATTTTTTCAATGATTTCACAATTTTTTGCTTCATATTTAATTTCTGAAGTCTGACTGTGATGTACCTGAGTGTGGTATTCTGCTTGGAATTTACTGACCTCACTGAATCTGTGAATGTTTGTGTTTTATTGTATTGGTTTTTAAAACAGTCTGAGATGTAACTGATATTTAAAAATCTTGAACATATTCGATATATTAAATTTCATGTATTTTCATTATAATTGGGAAATATTTATAGGTAATGTTTTTTTCTTGTATGCCTTCTGGGATTCTAGTTACATGTATGTTATAGCTTTGATACATTGTTGACACTCAGTACATCTTTTCCAACCTTTCCTCTCTCTATATACTTCAGATTAGATAGTGTTTATTGATTTACCTTCCAGTTATTTCTGTCATTTCCAATCTGCTAAGTGTATCCAGGGAACTTTACTTCAGATATGTTAATTTTTAGTTCCAAAATTTGCACCTGGTTTTTAAAATTTTTATTCATCTTTGTTATGATTCTCCACTTGTTCATTTATTAAAAGCACACTTTTCTTTATTTTCCTTAGTATAGCTGTAAAAGATCATTTAGTATCCTTTCTGCTAATTTCAGCATCTGCTTGACCCCAGGGTTGGTCTCTATTGAGTGTGTTTTCTTTTGAGGGTGGGGGTAATATAATCCTGCTTTTTTGTTATTATAGTAATTTTGGAGTGTACATTGAACATTGTGAATGATATATTATAGGGTCTCTTTATTCTTTTCCATTTCTTTGCAAAGTATTGATTTTTGTTTGTTGCAGTAGGTAAGTGACTGAAGTGAAAGTCCAAACTCTCCCTTGTGGTGGTCAACACTAAAAACTCTGTTTGATCTTTTCAACTTTATTTAAACTGTTTGTAGTCTATCCCCACATGCATATCTCATGATTTTACGAGAATGAGAGGCAGTTTATACACAGAATTTAGGGCTCACACTCTGTAGCTTTTTCTCTAACCTTGGATTTTTCACATCAGTTTCCAGCTGTGGTGGTAATCCTGAACTGTATCTTCTGATTCTTCAAGCCACTTGGATTATATGGGAACTGGATGGCACTGGACTGCTGGACTGTCAGAGCCTGATATACACATCTCATCTCAACTCTATGTTCATGGATTTGTCCATGGTGGGTATATTTACATCATGGAAATTGGCAAATGTTATAATCAAGCTTGAACTCCCCACCTTAAATTCAGTTGTTAAATATTTAGCAGGTGCTACACTGATTTTAGTTTCTCTATAGTTATATTTACTGCTCCATTTTGGGGCTGTTAATCAGACAGAAATTCCCAGAAAAAGGGAAACTCACCTAGTATTGTTCTTTTCTTTCATGTATCAACCCCCTTCCAATTCTGCATGCTTATGGTTATTTTTCAGTGTATTCAAATTGTTGTATTATGGATTTTGTCCAGAAATATTATTGGCATCTGTATCCTGGTTGGCCTGATAGAGACTTCTTCACTATTACTCAAGGTGGTTCTAGTGAAATTTTTCTTCATTTGTAATGAAATGAGAGAAATTATGAAAATATATTAATTTTTATACAGGTGAAGTTGTATGATTTAAAGAAGAGTTTTTGTTCTGGGGGATCTTTATCCAAATAATTTGTGCCAAGATATCTTCTTAAAAAATACTAATTCCCTAGTTGGTTTATTCTATTTTTTTGTTTAGCATCTTTATTTGACAAAAAAGGAAAGGTTGGCAACAATAGTAGATTAAGTAGTTCACCCCAAATCCATGCCCATCCATAACTTCAGGATATGACCTTATTTAAATGGTACAGTCTTTGCAGAATAATACATTAGTGATCTCAAGATGAAATCACATTGGATTTGGGTCTCTTTATAAGAGAAAAGAGAGCTTATAGAAGAGAAGACAGTTTGAAGACTGAAGCAGAGATTGGAGTGATGCTTCTGTAAGACAAAGAATACCAGGAACCACCAGAAGCTGAGAGAGGCAAGGAAGAATGCTCTCCTAGACCCTTGGGAAAGAGTGTACTCCTTCCAGAACCTGTTTTAGACTACAGCCTCTGGAACTATGACAGAATAAATTTCTGTTGCTTTAAGCTACCAAACTTATGGTCATTTGTTGCAGCAGTCATAGGAAACCAATACAACAATCTTATGCTAATTCTGAACATTTCTTTTGACTAGTTTAATAATCATTTAAATCCAATGAATATTTATACAAACATATATACTCATAAAAGTGTACATATGCAGAAAGGAGTGTTCATAACTATGGGCCCATATTGACATTTGTTTTATGCACATCTTATATGTTGCTTTGGTAGACAGATATACTGCAGTGATGACCAGCATTCTGGGTGTTGGTCCTAATTCTGCTGCTGACTTGGCATGACCTAGTGTGAATTTTGTTGTTTTATTCAGTTTGTCTTTTTGTACAATAACATGGTTATCTTTATGGACCCTTTCAGTTCAGTAAATCTACATTTATGGTTCTTCTTGTCTTTACACACTCAGTGTTTCAATACATGCTTTTGAAGAAGTGTGTGTTTTTACCACATGTACCTCACTAGTCAGGAGAAGTGAGTAGTAGGTATTTAGGAGGAAAATCACAATGATAGTTTAAGAAGAAATTAGCACACTCACACTGTTGGCAAAATTTTAAATGCCTACCATTTCTCAATTTCTGTATGTTATTTGAGGCCAATATACTTAAAATATACAATGTAAGTCCATTTGTTTCTCTGACTAAATGGCTTGGAAATCACAATATGAGGGAAGAATTAAGAAAAACGTTATGCCAATTATTATATATAGGTAGAAGCTGAATTGTTTCATAAGAGAATTTATAGAATTCTATTTATACATATGCCTATATTCACATTGCCCCTAAAACAACCAAGAATGTAAGGTTAAATTAATGTAAATTTGGGTCCCATTTGGGACTTACCTTTAGAGAGCCTTTGAAATGTAGTAGTCTATTTTCCGTTCTCTATGATTCAACTTCTCCTTCAACTGAAAGTTTCCTGTCTTTAGTTTCCAGATTGCTGGATATGAAATGATTCTTTACAATCATGTACTTCCATCCCCATTCAATTAGCCACCAAGGATAATAAGTGCTAGATTGAAGAATTGACCCATCCAAGGCAACACAGTAATTTTTAGAGGCCAGACTCAAACCTAAGTTCCTTTATTTTAGTCTTTGTGTGAGTCTCTTTCCACCCTATGTTGTATTTTTACAGTAGTATCCCCAGGTTGTTTGTTCTTTTGCCCCAATGGAATTACAGTTCTTTCATGTCTGAGTCAATCGATTCATTTTCCTTCTCTGTCTCCTCTTCCCCTTGTGCAAACTCATGTGTAGGCTCACATACTTACATATATCTATGTTCCCTTCAGAATATTCTGAAAGGAAATCCCGTGGTTCTGCTGTTTGTGTGTCTTTTGTAGAGGGAAGCTCTAGCTGACAGTTTTGAATTGGGTCCACACTCCTACTTGTAGGGGGTGGGGTGGAAGTTAGGTCATTAGGGGATCAATGTGGCTGAACTCTTTCTTCTTCGTGGAGTGTGAATGACATTCCCTTTGATGTACAATTTTTTAGCTCTTTATTATCCTCGGAGATAGAATCTGAGCAGACAGGATTGTCAAACCTTTATTTGGAGCCTGGGTTACAAGGCACGCCCATAGGGATGTAAAGGAGACAGAAAGAAAGGGAGGAAGCTCACTCTTCTGTCTTGGAGCAGCAAGTAAGCATCACACACCAGCCACGGTAATCCATACTTCCTTTATCCTCCTCTTCGCTCTTACCCTTTTGCTCTTTCTCTTCTCCTTGCTTCCCTGCTCCTCCCCTTATCTCTGAGCTTCCCTCTATTTCTCTGCTGGAAACCTTAAAGAATAAAATACTACTTTAGTCTTTCTTACAACAACCACAGACCTAAAGCTTTGCAGCTTTGCATTCGGAGCCCAGCACAGCCTCGTGCTCAGCTCCAGGCAGTGGTGAACCCTAAGCCAGCAAAGGGGGAAGGGAAAGGGGAGGGGAGGAGAGGAGGGAGGGACTGACAGAGAGAGGGGGAGAGAGAGAGAGAGAGAGAGAGAGAGAGAAAGGGAGGGAGAGAGGGAGGGAGGGAGAGAGGGAGAGCGTGAGCGCGCGCAAGCTAGCGAGCAAACCAGAGAGACAGACCGAGAGAGAGACCAGGAGAGAGACCCAGAGAAAGAGAAGAAGAAGGTGAGCTCTGTCGGGGCTCAACCTCCAACTTGTTTCAGTTCGTTCATCCTTCTTTCCTCTCTGCTTCGGAAAAGTGACTGTGGCGCTCGGTAAGAGACATAGATGTTCCTCCTTTTCCCCCTCCCCCAAGCTCAGGTCTCCTTTAGCGATAGCATCTCCCCCGTACTGAGAGTCTCCTTGGGTTGGTCGGGGAGGCGAGACATGCTCTGCAGCTGTGATGCTATCCTGGGTTCCCCAGTGGGGCTGGTGGAAGCCCAGAGACAGCATCTGGGCAGGGAGGAACTGGGGTAAAATCTGGTTTGGGGACAGGGGGGGTTGAGATGTGGTGGTGTACGCGCGATTTGCTTCATTGTCAGTGAATTGTTTTGTTCTTCTTTGGAAGCAGGTCAGCATTGACCTTGCAAATTGCTTGGGGGGCCCCCGCAGCTGCTGCAGAAAGCCACACAGTGGCCCCTAGCCAGAACAGACAGCACTGTCATGACCCCCCAGACAGCCCTAGGCACTGAGGATGGGGTAATGGCTGGAGCTTCCTCCCTCCTTTAACTCTTTCTCTGCAGCTGCGTCTGGCTGCTGGAAATGAGAAGGAAGGAGGAGACCATGTAGCCCCTTTCTCCATTACCTCCCCTGTATGCAAGTGAGTAGAAAGTTGTAAATAACTGCTTCCTTTGAGGCAGGTAGAGACCTTCCCCATTCCTTTAAGAGACTCACTGTGGGGTTGGGCCTGAGTTCCTCCACAAACTTGGGAGGATTCTCTTGCTTCCTTGAGGGAAGCCCTGCTGCCCAGGTAGTTGAGCTAACAGCCTAGACCAGGCATTCAGATTTCCCATCCCTTCTCACTGGTGGACATCATCTTAGGTCCAGCTGTGTCCTTGGGAGGGAGGAAACACCTGATGGTTTGACTTGAGCTGCCTTCCCAGTTTACTGCTCCTCTGACTGTGGCTGCTGATGGCACAGGCAGGAGGACTGGGGGAGGGGTGGCTGTTGGCTATGAAGACAACGGGTGAGGAGGCAGGATTCCCGATGTGACTAGTATGGATTATTGAGGGTCAGCAGGTTCTGGTTGTCTGCAGTTGTGGAAGGGCTCTCTGAAGCTGTTGTAACCCCTCTGAACTGGTAGAGGAAGGGCTCTGATTGCTTGATAGGGGTTTGTTGAGTTAATGGCACTGCAATGCCCATGATAGTAATTATAGCATCAATAATAGTAACCACTAACATTTTTGAGTGTTTAACATATTTTAGATCTTGGACTGAGGATTTAGTGTGTATTTTCTCATTGAATTCATACATCAACCCTATGGAAGCAGACACTATTATTTATGGTTTACTGATGAGGAAGCTGAGGCACACAGAGGTTAAGTAACTTGTTCAAAATCCCAGGGCAGTAAGTGTCCCAATCAAGAGTTTAATCATAAGTAACTTGGTCCCAGAACTAATGAACTTATCCATCAAGCCCTATTGCTTCCTTGGGGAGAAATTTGCACCTTTATCTATTAGGCAAGTATAGGCACAATGGAAATCATGTCACTTGGCAAGACTGTTTGAAAAGTAATGGCCTGGCCTTTGTTGAGAGGAGCAGGAACTTGAAATAGGGCAGGTGACTGGCTTATGTGCTGCTAAAAGTCACCTGGGCTTCCTGAAGGGGCTGCCTGAAAGGCTTCCCCAGGTCTGCTAACTTTCCTTTGCAAATGATGCCTAGAAAGACTTCACTTTCCACATCTATCTCACATCCAGCTTTAAACTGTGCCGTTTATGAAGATCCTGCTTTTATTTCCTGAGAGCTTGGAGTCATCCTGTACTGAAAATTTAGAATACTAAAACCTTGGAACTGGAAGGATCCCTCAAAATCATTAAGCTTTACTTCTCCTCTCAGTTCTTGAATTTGTCTTAAGCATCCAATTTGTTGACTGATTTCTATTTGAATTCCCTGCAGTGACAGAGAGCTCATTAGGTAGCTCTTTGTATCTTTGAGTAACTCTGGTTTTCAGAAAGTAATCTCCATTATAAGCCAAAATCTGTCTCCCTGAAACTTCTAGCCATTGGTTCATTGGGACTATCTTGAAAAAAATGGTTTTTCTTAATAACATTCTTTAGTTATTTGAAGATAGCAGTTGTGCTTCCCCCTCAAGAGTCAGGTCTGAAAAGACCACAAAGTGAAGTATCATCATTTACCTTGTTATGGAGACTGGACTTTTATTAATGTGGCTTAATATTATTAATGTGGCTTAATATCCCACTTGCCTGTCAACTACAAACGGAGCTTTCTGAAACAGTCGTGATAGCGTATGTTCTCATCCTTGGAAGAACTTACTATCTAGTGTCAACTGGGCTGCTGGAAACAAAGAAGGTCTACTGTATTTCTAAAGCCCAGGAATCAGTTGGTACTAGTTTTTCTAAATCCCCAGAATGCCATAGTAGCTAGATGATAGCCATGTGAGAAGATTTCAGAAGTGGGATTAATGGCAATTATCACAGAGGAGATATTTGAAATGATGGTAATTCAAGGTTCATACAGGATGTGGAAGGTAGAAGAAAAACAGTTCTATCAGAAAATCTCAGGTATAACGTGGGATTATGTGGAAAAGAAGTGAGCAAGTAGTGTGAGGGAGTGGATCACTGGCCTGAGTGTTAGCCAATCTGGTTCCTTTCCTGACTCTGGCAATTTGCCACTACTTTGGACACATGGCTTCTCTTCCATGAGCCTCAGCTTCTCCAACTATAAAATGATGAGATAGACTGTATCTCCAGGGGCCTTTCAGCTCTAATATTCTCTATTTGAAATAAATCACAGATCTTAGGGTTATAAAGGGCTTCAGAAGTCATCTAGGATAGTGCTTCTTAAACTTAGATGTGCAAAAATCTCTCTTGAGATTTTGTCAAAAGGGTCATTCTGATTCAGGAGGCCTAGGGTGAAGTCTGAGCTTTGGCATTTTAATAAGCTCCCAGGTGATCCCCCAAACTGCTGGTCCACTTATCACAGTTCAAGTAGTAATGTACTAGTGTAGTGCTTGTCAAACTGTCTTGGTAAAGGACCAGATACACCTCCCTGCAATTGTGAGACTGTTACTTTAGTAAAACAAATTAATTACGAATTACTAGAAAATGTGAGGGAAGACATACACAACTCAAGCCAACGTTTTTATTATTAGATTCAAAACACATAAAAAATTTTTTAATTGCTATAGCATTTTCCAAGTGCTTACTTTCAATTTCTACACTTAGATCTTTACAGCCTGGTAATAAAGCTTGCAGATAGGCACTGATCTGTGGACCATACTTTAAGCAGCTCTGGTCTAGGATACTTGCTCACCTAATTTAAGATGCCCAAATTAGCCCTGGCTATAATTTCTAAATTGCCTCCACCAGATCATCTTTCAGTCTCAGATTCAGTACCTCCTTTGATGGAGAAGTTAATATCTTTACAAGTAGCATTATTCAGATTTTGTGACTGCTACAAAGGAAAAAAAAAATCAAACACTTGGCTTCTTTATAATGTCCATGAATTCCAGTCCTAGATCTATATATTCAAAGCAAATAAAAGACTATCAATTCAGTTTATTACAATATCAGCCCCTTGTCTATTGTATGGTATAGAGTAGGTGCTTAATAAATGTTTGCTAAATGAATGCATGAATCATTTGGTATTACTTATGGGGCCAGACATTCACTAAAAATGGTGATTTTGGTTTCTTTCTGGTACTGGGAAGACAGTATTCATCCTATTTTATCAATTTCTGGTGGACCTGCCATCCCAGTTGGACTTTGAAGGGATTTTAGGAAGCCAGACAAAGATTTTGCACACACCAAGCCCCAAGTCTTTACACTTAACTCAGACATTCATCAATTCAATCATTCAATTCTTATGTATCTATTACTATCGATTTATTTAGTGATGTGGGTAGGCACTGTGTACAGGATGCAAATGTGGGACAAATGAGCATGGTCCCTTCTTGTTTGAGGCTTCTAGTTCTATGGGGGAAGAGGCTATTAATCATAACACAAATATGTCACTTCTGTCAATGACAAATGCTATGAAAGTAAAAGGATGAGGGTGGGGGCTATGGAAATATATAACAAAAGAAACTGTCCCAGCCTGGGGTTTAAGCAAAGTTCCACTGAGAAAGTATCACTGAGGCTGAGTACAATGTATGGCATTGGAGTGGAGGTGGTGTCTCAGATATCTAGTTGGAGGAAGGAGCATGTACAAGGGCCTTGACATGAGAGAAGCATAGAGAATTTGAGAAAGTGCACAAAAGTTAGTGTTTCTGGTGGTCCACTTTAAGAATTTCAGTTCTTTATTCCAGAAGCCTGGGGGACTGATTAAATGGTTTTTAGGCAGGATGGCTGATAGGGTCTAAGCAGAATCCAGTAAGTGTAAGGTCACTGAGTGCCTGCTATAATCCAAAGACAATGTGGGAGATACAGAATGACTAGAAATAGCTTTCATCCACCAAAGTGACACAGTCAAGTATGAGGAAGAAGAAATACACAAACAACTATAGTACTAGTAAGATGAGATCCACATCCATAAAGCTGAGGGCTGCAAGGAGATCAAAGCTTCCTGGAAGTGGCATTTGAACTAATGTTTGAAGATTAGACAAATTTGGGGCATGCAGAATTGGGGGATGGGAAAGGTATTCGAGGCAGAGGCCAATTGTGTATTGTGAAATACAGTGTGTGAGAAATGTTTGGTAAGATAGGTGAAGTCTTTTATGCATGTGCAAAATGATCCTGAGGGGGCGAGTGACTTCATTTGCCTAAATTCACATAGGTTGTGTGTGACTGCTATAGTCCAGCAAGAGGTACTGAGTACAGTTGAAAATGTTGGATTGGAGCTCTTCTCAAATAAGTCATCTACTACTTTGGAGAATCCTTATTTTGGGATATAGGGGAGAAAAATAAACCTGTGTGAAAGCAACAAAAGAAAAAAGGTCAGAGATGTGCATGGGAAATTAGAAAAGTACAGTAACATAAAAGTGCCAAGAGTGTCTTTTTTTTGACAAATATTTACTGATTACATACCTTTTTCTAGGTATGTAAAATATAATGGTGAACAAAATAGATATGATTGTTGCGATCTTGGGGCTTAGGG